CCTTCATGAGGTATTCAAGTGAAGGTTGCTCCAATAACCTTTATAAACAGCATAAAGGTCATAAGTATATAAGCAATCACAATATTCTTATATAAAGTAATCAATACCTTATATCAGCGAAAAGCTCTTCTAAACGGCATACTGAAACACAGTCTACTGTACACATACTACATTCTATTTCTTCATCCGTAGGGTCACTACGTGAAGATTCATAATTCCCTGAATAGGGAGATAATAGATAAGATGATAATGCAGATAAGAGTGAATTGTCACGAGGTCTTTCTTGTTTAGATTGTGGTGCGGTTTTTGGTTTTAATGGGATAGTAGTAGTTCCAGCTAGAAAGTCTTCCACTTGTGACATAGAAGCAGGTAACAAAGAATTGACAAAAAGGTTCTTAATAATTTCCAAGATCTATAAGTTATGAAATAACAGTTAAAAGTGGATATTTGTTTTTAACCATGGATAATGAATAAACTTACGTATTTCCAACCTTCTCTGAGTATATTACCATGCTCATTAGCAACTGCGAATAAAACTACAGCAGCCAATTGTCCTTTGTAATTTCTTCCAAATTGTATGGAAAGATCACTAACTGTAATTTCTGTATTTCCAACTTTTACTAATGGATTGTTAGCTGTCTCATTAGAATAATGAGCTCCTAATAGTCCAGTCATTTTAGATAGAGACATAATTATATAGTCGAAAACGTCATATAACTTATATTGTGCAGATAATAATGCACACTGATGAAATCCAGTGATGGCTTTTTGCAGAGTAGCATCATTCGGCGCAGTGCTAAATGCTGAAATTTTTTGGTAATATAGATGATTTCAATCTGAAAATAATCAATTTAATTTACATAATTTATATACTCATATTACGCACCATATGAAATTGCCGCGACAGTAGGTTTCCACACTGCTGTAAACATGTCCTTGTCATATAAAGAGGTATCACATATTATCAATGGCCCTAATATAATCAAATAGGTGAATAAATATTGAAAATTTTTTGGTTGTATTCATTCATTTAAAACTATGATTATACCAGCACTTTCTGCTCTGCGCAAAAGTTCTTTCCACGCATAGTTGAACCCAAGTTGTCCCTCATGCTCTTCGGGCATGATGATTTCTCTTTTGCGGATAGCATCATAAATAGCATGCTAATGTATTAAAAAAATATTAACCACAAAGAAACATTTTGCAAAAATCTTAGAAAGTTATAAAGCTTACTAGATATTCAGGTGAGAAATTTTGGCCATTATTAACGTTTCGGAGATTTTTCATATAGTCTTCGATTGACATACGTCGCTGTATTCAGGTGAAAGATCTAATTTAAGTACGTTTATTTATTTTAAATAATCCAACGACACATACTCTAACTTGAGG